AAAAAAAAAAAAAGTCATAAAACACTTTTGGTCCCTATACTTTAGCTAAAGTAATAATTTAGTCTCTCAACTTTAGTTTGTAACGATTTAGTCCCTATACTTTCAGATCGATAACAATTTAGTCCTTGAATTTAATATGTTACAATTTAACCCTTGTAATTTAAAGTTGGTAACGATTTATTCTTTACCTTGAAATTTTTTTGTTAAGTTTAATAAAATTTTTTACGATAGGGACTGAATTATTACAAATTTTGAACTATAGGGACTAAATCGTTACAAGTTAAAGTTCAACGTTTTACTTTAATGAAAGTATAGGGACTAAATCATTTCAAACTAAAGTTTAGAGATTAAATTGTTAGGGACCAAATGTGTTTTAAAAAAAAAAAAAGAAATTTTAAGTAAGTTTTCATATAAAAAAAATCCATTATTGTGACAAATTTTTTCAGGAGGTTAAGCCATAAATGGCATTTACTAATTTTTTCCGATTCGAGCTTAAATTTTCATATCTCATAATTGTTGACATTTTGGTTCCAGACCTAAAAATTCAATTTTCCTTTTTTTTTTGGGTAAAAATTGATTTATGGGTATAGATATAAATAAGTCAAGTTTTGATGGCCGATTCTAAAATGATTTATCAATTTAAAAATCAAAAATTTATTGCTAAATTATTTTTGAAAATTGGACAAATCATTAAACCAAAAATTACTAATTAATTAGAAGAAATCAACTAAGTCAATTTTCAAATAGAGAAAACTTGAACCAACTTGTTTTGAAAATAAAAAATTGAACCCACTAAGCCAATCAAAACTTTTCTTTTTTCTTTTAATATTTTTTTTTCTTACTTGCACCATTACGCTACATATCCTTACGATTAATTTAGATATTAGTATTTTTTTAATTAGCATCGATGATATATGTCTTAACTCTTTATTAGTTAAACTAGATGTCAAAAAAATAGTTAAACTAGGGTTGACAAAAATTAATATACAATAACATTTTATTATCATTCTTATTGCTATATATAGATATATAAATAATTTATCAAATAAGTATTTAATAATTCTATCTCTTGGAAATTATTAATTTAGTTTAGCAATGATGATGGCATATGGACACAAAGCATAAAAAACACAAACTCTCCTTTTATTATAAAATTGCTCTCTACTTTTTAACATTGCCTCCCCTAATTCTCTCCCTCCTTTCTCTCTCTCTTAATATAAAATAATGTCAAATTATTGGAGTGTTCTCTCTAAATTATTGTTCATGTGTATTGATTTTCAATATTATGTGTAAATATGTAAGTTGACTGACATAATACATACTTACCATTTGATGAACTATAATCAACAAATGTTAAAAGTTATATTATTACAAAACAGCTCAATTCTTTAGAAGATAATTCTATAATAATAATAATAATAATAAAAGATCAAAAACCCAAAAATAAGAACCGATTAAATTGACATATAAAAATAAAACCACATAATTTTAAGCAAACAAAAATCTTGAAGATACTTAAGAAAAAAATCATATTAAATATCTTTATCTTTTTTTAGTTCACTGGTATATAACACTAAGGATAATTCAAACTTCTAATCTTTTGATCGAAAATATGTGTTAATCAATTCAGGTATACTCAGGAGGACAGTATCATCTTAGATTGGTTGATGGACGCATGAAATGCAATACAATTATTTTTCTAAATATAATTACTTTTTTTATATCTTCTAAATAATTACTTTTTAACTTTTAGTGTTTTATTTAATTAAATTAAGGTTACATCTATAGTTTTAGTTCCTACGATTTATGATTAGTTTCAATTTGATTCCCAACTATGATTTTATTAAGAGTTCTAATTTGGTTTTCACGATTTGAGATTAGTTTTAATTTAGTCTCTATAATTCTAAAATTTTTAACTTAGTTCTTGTAGTTTGGTAAAACCTAACAATCTGGGACTCGGTACCATATTTAATGCATGTTTTTTTTTACTAATGTGGTGATAAACTGGTTTTTTCTATATGGTCAACTATATATATGTTGATTGATTGAAGGGCGTTGAGTAAAAAATATGGGGAAATTGAGGTAAATAAATGTTCAAGGATGATGATTAGGTCAAGTTTAGCTAAAGTATGACAACCCATTTAAAATTTTTATAACTACAGAAACCAATTTTGAAACTGAACCTAAATTGTAGGACCAAAGTGGTAATCTATAAATTAATAACCTCATTTTCATTCTTACACATTATTGGCGTACTTTATTAAATTACTATTTTATAATTAATTAAGTAAAGTGAAATTTTTTAAAGAGTGTGTTAGGTACTCTTTCTAAATAACTTATTGATCCAAACCAACATGAGAGAATTTTTAATTACAAAAAGAGGAATTCTGATCTATTCACCATCATAATATAAAGTTATCATTTTTAATTATTTTTACACACATAAAATAATTAATATTGTAGTGACATTAGACAAGAACTTAGCCTACTATTATAATTATATATTGCATAAATATAATTTTTTTATTTCAAACAAATTGCAATTTAATCATTATGAGTGGCTTGTTATTGGTCCAAATAGGTTAGGGTTAATTAAAAAAAAAATTCTAAAACTTTGTGGAAAAAATAACAGTATTATCGTCTATATATATATATATATATATATATCCTTTTAAGTCAATATTTTAAAGAAATAAACACAATCATGAGTAAAATTATGTAATTAACTATATAAAATGACAACCAAAACCCCAAAATTATTCTCTCTCGCCTCAGGATCATTTAAACATGCTTATATCATTTATGGTAGTTATGTATGTAGGGTTGCAACTATTTCAAATATCTTGATTTGCAAAAACTAGATCGAAGAACAAATAAACAAAGCGTCATTGGTTCGAATATCCGATCCAACCCTTTCCATCTAAAGATTAAGCACAAACAAATAACATTCTAATGCATTCAAACAGAGTTTATAAGTCTAGATCGAAAAGATAAAAACATTATTCATCGAAAACAAAAACGAAATATTGTTTTTATGACGCTACGGTCATTTATGGGAAGAAAAAAGCCGAAAGCTGAGAGAGATTGTTTTTGTTGCTCAACTAATATTATATTATATAGAAAAATAAATATGGATGAGCATCCACTTGCCTTACTTGGGTTTAGGCACCAACTCAGTCCAAGATCGTTCTTGATAATATTGGTTGGAAGTGGTTGCATTTTCCACTTCATGGTTGTGGATGCATGGGATTGAAGCCTCTTCATGTGGCAACAATGACGAATAATCTGTCAAGGGAAATAAATATTTTTATCAAGAGATTATTTTTTAAAGAAGGAGAGAGAAATTGATCAGTTCAAATTAATTAAATACCATCATAGAACATATTGCTGCATTCTCGCTCCTCGATCCCTTCCAAACCTCCACCTAGTCCCATTGCTTCATAATTTTCCGCCAAAGTTTGCTGCTTTCATATGATATAAATCAAATTAATTAGTTTAAACTCCATTAATTTTAGTAGAGATAGAGAGAGAGAAGTTGGGATGTTAAGAACCGAACCATGTAAATCGGCGAACCAAACCAAATCAAGGCGGTTTGGTTTGTTTCCTCGTGTGAGCTCGAATCAAACCGAATCAATTCAGTTTCCAACTAACGTTCGGCTCGGTTCGGTCTCTATTAATATTCTTACAATTAAGTGGTTCGGTTCGGTTTGCTTTTGAAAAAACCAACCGAACCAGGAAAAGATTGGTTTTTCAAAAGAACCGAATCGAGCAGATTTACACCTACCTCAAAGCTTGGACGGTAGGATGCCGGGGCTTGAAGGTGGCCACCAAATTCATGAGCTGAAAACAGTGTCTGTGAAAGCCCATGGCCACCACTGAAACTCTTTTGCTGGCCTTCTTCCAAGTTGTTGTCCATCAAATTTTGCTGCTTTTACATAAAATAACTCAGTTTAATCCCACTTCATTAGAGAGAGAGAGAAATAGATATAGAAAGTCTAATCATTTTTTTTGGGCTTAGTGTTTTATAGGCTGATTTTGAGATAGATGTTTGATCATTTTAGATGGGCTTAGTTTTTTGGGATGGTTTGAAGAGAGGTCAAATAGTTTTTGTTAGGACAATGAATCCTCCATATTTCTATCTAATTGTACCGTATTGTCTACTTTAAACTTAAGCCTACGTAAGATAGTGTCGTTTATTTATATATACTATAAATATTCTTTCTGATATCTCTTGTAACTAATGTGGAATTCAGGTTTTAGTTTCTTAAGGATGAACAAACCACCACTCAACCCAAAAGTTTAAGCTGATGGGTTGGGTAAATTTAATTCATTTATATGGATTCTAACATAGTTTTCAATTTGGCGGGTTCGAAAAAGATAGGTTAATCACGGGTTTGTCTTTTAGGCTGATTTTGAGAGTTTTTGAAGTTCTCTTTTGGGCCTATTTATATTGTTGCTTTTGTTTGATCATATCAACATTGTAATCTTTAGATAAGGGAGAGACCCCAGAGGTTGGATTGAAGGATGCCAAGTCTTGAACTTTGTCGTCAAATTTCTGATCTTCGATGTTCTCTGAAAGCGTATCATCGTCACCAAAATTCATTGGCTCGTCACCGACTTCAAAATTGTCATTCAAAGCTTCACCTCGTGTGGTTTCATTTCCGGCCGAGTGGACCCCAAAGTTAGGATCCAAGGCCAAGGGGGCCATCACATGGTCATCACATTCTAAAGCATTAGAAACCATCTTTTCCCATGTAATTTTTGGGACTCTTCCAAGAATCTGCACACCAAGACAACAATAAATTTAACAATTCCTCAAATAAACCAGTTTAATTACAACCACTACTCCCACCTACATATCTAAGCCAAATTTTAAAAACGAAACAAAAGTCATTTCCAAAAACTTGTTTATCGTTTCTTTGAAAAAAAAAAAAACAAAAAACGAAATCATTATCAACGGAGTTCTAAAGATTTTGAAGTTTTGTCTTTCGCCTGTACCTTCCTTAGGTATGCACCACCCTCTTCATGATAAACCTTCAAGAAATCATCCACAGTTTTGATGTTTACAGCGGATAAGCGGGTGTCATATGTGCCATCTTTGCCGATCCCTTCCAATCTCCATATTTTATCTCCCTTCTTTGGAGGGTGGTGCTTCTTGTACACTAAAAATTAAACAAGTTCAAATTTAGAGATCAGAAAGACATATAATTTTCATAGCTAGAAATTGAGATGAGAATCGTATACCTTCTCCACGATGATCCATCACTCTGAAGGGTTCAGAAACACCTTCTCCAATTCTTGAAAACTTGGTCAAGATTTTCTCATCTACAATTCTTACTCCGAATCTAAACTTCTTAGATTTTGTCCAGCTCGAGTTGTCCGTAAAGCTTAGACCTTTGATAAATCCAACACCATTTTCCAGATAGAGCTTCAGAGCCCCCACAATTAAAGGCCTTTTCCCCTCCCTTTGAGACACGATACTGTTTTTGAAATCATCCACACTCCACGAGGTCTCGTCTCCCCGTTGCCCGGAGCCAAATTCTCCGTCGAGGACGACGATCTCGACCAAGGCTGACGAAAGAGGACCGATCCCGATGATGGAGTTGGAGTTGGTGGTGTCGCATATTGAAACTGCAAGCAGTGTGCCATCCTTTGCTTTGATTTCGTTGTTGGTAAAAATGGTGGAGGCAATTTGATTCTTTTCGAAAAATAACCTGAACTTCAAAGTTCCAGATCCGGCAAGAGCCTCTTTTCCAGTCAGATCATTACAAAGTTGGCTGTTTCTGAAAAAGAAAAAAGAAAAACAAAATTGATTATATATGATCAATCAAAAAAGTTTAATGAATTAAATTTAGGAGACAGACCTTGATAGAATGGAGCGAATGCAAGAAGGAACCTGGATCTCCACCACCTCCTGGACCTGTAGAAAATGATGAACATATTATTAGAGATTTGTTTTGGATTTAAGTTTGGAATCTGGAAAATAATTAAAATAGAGAGAGAGGGGGTTGAAAGTACCACAGATCGGATAAAATTTTCGAGTGTAGCCAATTGTTGAGGAGACAAAATCTGCTGTAGCATTACAGATTGAGCTTCGAAGCAGCTGGAAAACCCAACAGTCCCAAATTTCGAAATTGAGATTAGTACTCACAAAACCCACAGA